GGTTACTGAAGCTCCAACTGGCAGAGCCGGGAGTCAAACCCCCATTTGTTGCCTACAAACGTAAGGCTGTTTCTGGAAACAGCACAGTTGCCTCAAAAGAAAAACCAGTGGAGTCCCTCCCACCTTCCCTCCCTTTCTTCATTCCTCCCTTGCTTCTGTCTTTCCAGGAACATCCCCTCTCCTCTCACATGTCCTGAGCAGGAAATCGCATGATCTGCTCCTTGGCTCAGATAACACAGCCACCACTCCCCAGGCTCTGTGTCTTTAGAGGCGTGGGGAGTGCGGGCCCCAGGCAGCAGCGCATGTACTCAGTGACCCACGGCAGCTGATCCATGGGGTCTGTGTGTGCTGTCCTTGAGATGTCTGGCTGAGTCTATGCAGGTCTCCTCTGTCCCTCTGAGCGTACCCCAGGCAGTTGGAGTGGCAGGGCCTGCCCACACAATGAAGTTGGACTCTTTCTCTGAGGTGTACTTGCCTTCCTGTCACCTGGCCCTGCTACAAAGTCTCCCTACCTCTCTCCCGAACCACGGCAGAAGAGTCAAGCCGCCAGCCTCCTCTCTGGGCTCTTCCTGTTGCCTTCCATTCTTTACCCTGCCACCAGGGAGATCAGCTTAAAACCAGACTTTTCAACTTTAGGCTGCAGCCCATTACATGTGTCCCACGGGTCATGGGAAAAAACATCTCACTCTGGAAAGTAGCAAATTTGTTTGGAAAACTCTTGCTTAAAGCATAGCCCAGAGCATGTCTTCTCCTCGCTTCTCAAGAAATGATCAGTGGAGGAATCCTACTTACTTCAGATCTCTCTCCGTGTGTGTGTGTGTGTGTGTGTGTGTGTGTGTGTGTGTGTGTGTGTGTGTGTGTAGGGGGTGGTATTTTGGAGTGAATTTATTGAAGTCTAAAACATACATAAGGTACACAAATCATGTGCACAGTTCAGTGAGTTCGCACAGAGCCAGCAGGCCTGCAGTAGAGTCCCAAGTCTGGCACAAAACTCACAGAATGTTAAACTCGGCTAATTCGACTCTCATTTCGTTTCTGAGTCTCTTTTCACAGCATCCACCGTACAGACCCAGCCTCTTTCTGAACATTTGCCCCAAACAGGTAGCACCACCTTCCTTAGTCAGGGGTCAGGTCTACTTCCTCCATCTGCGAGCATCCATTCTTAGTCCTAGCCTTGTCCTCTGGGGTCACTCCAAATAAGCCTAGTTTCTTTTCCATGGGGAATATCTTCAAATATTTGGAGATACTTCAGATACTTCAGAACTATCCTTTCCCCACCCTGCCCCAGCCTATGTTTTAGACCTTTCCTTTGGTCCCAGGTAATCCCATCAATTTACACTTGCCCCTGCATGTCCATACTTCCCTGAACCCGGGCCCTTCCTCATGCTGTCTGCCCTGTAGCTTCCCTGCCTTCACCTGCCAACATCCTATCAGACTTCTGAGGCCAATTTCACCACTACCACCTTCGTGAGAACTTTTCTGATGTGTTCCATCCAATATAGAAAATTCTCACCCTTTGCATTAACCCGAGAACCCGGGTAGCTGCCTTGTGCTGTCAATTGTGTTCTGACTTGTTTTAAAGTTTTTGGAGAATCTTTGTTATCCCTCACCAGCTTCCAACTTCTTTGAAGACTGATCCTTTCTTATCTGTATTTGTTTTTCTGGAAATGTCTTGAGAAGAGTAGATGCTTGGGCCGGGTGTGGTGGCTCACATCTGTAATCCCAGCACTTTGGGAGGCCGAAGTGGGCGGATCACAAGGTCAGGAGTTCGAGACCAGCCTGGTCAACATGGTGAAACCCTGTCTCTACTAAGAATACAAAAATTAGCCGGGCATGGTGGCACGTGCCTATAGTCCTAGCTACTCAGGAGGCCAAGGCTGGAGAATCACTTGAACCCGGGAGGCAGAAGTTGCAGTGAGCTGAGATTGCACCACTGCACTCCAGCCTGGGTGACAGAGAAAGACTCCGTCTCGGGGGGGCGGGGAAGAAAGAAAGAAAGAAAAAAAAGAGTAGGTGCTCACAGTATGTGCTCTGCGTTCACTAGTACATTAGGACCTTTTTGGTCATAAGTGACAGATATCCAACTCAAATTGGCTTCAACACAAAAGGGATAATTTCCATATAACAGGAAAGTCCAGGGAGATAACCACTGGAGGTATAGTGGGGTTTAGGCCATCAAACAATGTCATCAGGAACTTGCTGTTCTCCACTGCTCAGCTTTGCCGCCCTCTAGCTTGGTTTTCTTCCTGGTATTTCCGTCTTTAAGGAGTAATAAAGAGTATAGTGCCTCAGTTGAAAAAAGACTGCTTCTCCGCTTCTCCAAGAGTTTGAGCCATAGTCTCAAATGTGACTCTCAGAAGCCAGTCTTGGGTCATTGCTACAATCCTGAACCTACTACTAACTGTAGGGAAGCAAGATGTTCTGTTTGGTTAGGACTGGATCGTGTGTCCATGTATTCACCCCAAGAGCTCAAGGGTAGGGTCACCCATGGCACATGAAATGGGGAAGTGGAGGTTCTCCAAAGGAAAATTGGGGTGCTCTTACCAGAAGAAGAGTTCATTAACACCATTTGTACCAAGACTCTGGGACCAGAATACCTGCATTGAAATCCCAGCTCTGTTGCTTTTCAGCTCTGGAAACCTGGGCAAGTTGACCTCTTCTGACTTAGTTTTCCCCATCGCTGAATGGGGATAATAACTGTAGCTACCTCATAGGGGTGTTGTGAATATTAACTGAGTTAATGCAGTATATATGATCCAATTAAAATACTGTCTGGTACCAGGTAAGCTCAATTAGAGGTTTTTATAGGTGTCCCCACAGTTATTGCCTCATGCCCCTAATATTTTGTGTGTTACTCTTCATTCTTCTCGGCTAGATTGGAAGTTGCCTGAGGGCAGCGCCCATCTAGGCTTCCAGCTTCTCTTATACCCCTGAGGACAGGCTGATAGTGGCTGTGAGACCATGGCTGTGAGACCCTGGCAGCATCCTGGGCCCCCCACCCCATGAGGAGTAGATAAGCCTGCCTGAGCCTCCTGGTCTGGGCCTGAAGCAAGCAGGGCTCCCGACAGCCCCTTCCCCCTTGCTTTCCCAGATCCTCAGAATAGGAAGGGGGCAGAATCGTGTTTCACAGTGGGATTTGAAGATGCTGGGCAGGAGACTCATCCAGATGGAGGGGCAGCGGGGAAAAGCTTTACCTCCTTTAGGACTTCTGTGTCTCCCTTGCCTTACAATGTATCCAACATTCAATCCAGCATCTTGGTGGCAGATGAGGAAGCTGAGGTCTGGAGATGTCAAGGGGCTTGGCCCAGGTCACACAGCCCGCCACAGCAGGGCTGCCCTTGGAGCTCCATTTCCCAACTGGAAGCCAAACCCTGTGCTGCCTCTCCTTGTGCAGATCCTAGAACCAGAGAAGCAGCAGGGGAAGTTGTCCTGTTTCTCTTCTCCCAACCTGACAAACATTCCTACCAGGGGTGACTTCTGTTCTGACTCATAAAGATATTTCTGAATAAGAGCACTGGTCACTTTATCTCTGGAATGTATCCGGCTTTTAAAAAAACCAAAACCAAAAAACTGGTGGCAGGGAAGTACCCTCTTCCTGTCCCCCCGCCCCCACCACCGCCAGGGCACTGATTCCACTCAGCCTCCTAGGGGCCTCATGGGGTCGGCCGGAACGGCCTCATTTGCATATGCTTTCTCAAAAGTCTTGCCCACACTTCAATATAACTCTAAATGTGTTCTAAGGAAATAAAAAGGTTTTGTTGTCGTTGTTTGCTTCTTGTTTTTTGTTAAATCGAGGGTAACATATATAAAGTAAAATGAATAAAATGGTGCAATCCTAAGGGCAGAGCCTGTGGATGAACTTTTACACACCCACAGACGTGTAATACCGCACCCAGATGGAGATCGTTGTTTTAAAACTACGATATGACTGCCTCTAGAGTGATATTTCTTGTCTTCATTTCTTCTCCATTGGTGTACAGCCCATTCATGAAATGGGAATCATGTAGGGTGAAGGCTTATGTGTCACATCTGAGAAGACTTTAGCTGGGAGGGTTGCTCTTGGAATTTCAAGGAGGTCACATAAAGCCACAGGAGAGAAAGTCATGCTTGCTTCTTCCCCAGGAGTGGATCCCTGTTCATCAGCGGGTATAGCCTTTTCTCTGCCCCACACCTGAAAGATACAATACATGGCTCAGTGGCTCAAGTATCAGTGTGAGTGGTTTCGTGTTATCAGTAAAGAGGGGAGATGTGGTTTCAAAAAGCTGTTCAGGCTATTCCAGTGTTCACTTCCACAGTACATGAGGTGTAAGGCCTCACTGATTTACCTTATTTCCCTCATTCTGAAACACCATCCCTCGTTAGATCCCTCATGTGCTTAATGGGATTTATACTGGTTACTCCCCATTTGCTGAGTGCCCCACTAGATTTGCTCTTTACCCTTCTTTGCCCTTCTCTGTGCCCTGGGAGGCCAACCTTAGTGGACTGCATGGATCAGCAGCTCCCGCTGTTTGGCCAGAGAAGGAGGCAGGAGGTGGGAGAGATGGTCTGGTATTTCTTGACCCCAACTTCTCCCTCCCTTTCAGTGGGCTATCTCTGGCAGGGGCTCCTTCCCTCTACCCGCTGGATGGCCCCTCCTTCATGGTCCCAAGCTCACTAGGCTCCAATAACATGATTGCCTCCTCTTTTCAACCCTAGGGACGGTCATCATTTCCTGCCGTTACTAGGCTCTGGGTGCCTCAATTCCCTCTTAACTTTGCCCATACCTCTATGGGAAACTCCATAAGGAGTTTCTCCATTAAAGCCTCATCCTTTGAACCATCTGGGTTAAAGACTGTTTCCTGATGGACCCATGAGTGATTCACAGGTCTTTGGACAAAAACGGGAACACTTCCATATTCAATAGTCATCGATTATAAGATACATCTGGCTTTCAGAAATATTACATCATCTAAAAAGTATGATTTACTATAAAGATATGATGGCAGGTTCATTCAGGCATGATGGATATAGAGGACAGTGTATCATTAAGAGATGTAAGCTGGGAATGGTGGCTCACGCCTGTAAACCCAGCACTTTGGGAGGCCAAGGCGGGCTGATCACTTGAGGCCAGGAGTTTGAGACCAGCCTGGTCAACATGGTCAAACCCCAGCTCTACAAAAAACACAAAAATTAGCCAGGTGCGGTGGCGTGCTCCTGTAATCCCAGCTACTTGGGAGGCTAAGGCAGGAGAATCACTTGAACTCGGGAGGCAGAGGTTGCAGTGGGCTGAGATCACAACACTGCATTCCAGCCTGGGGGACAGAGGAAGACTCTGTCTCAAAAAAAAAAAAAAAGAAAAAGAGAGATGGAGTTTGCTCCTAAACTTACAAGGCTGGAAGCATGGCAAACAGCAAAGTGCTGGGTTTAAAGTCAGGTGAGACGGCTTTGAACACAGACTGACACCTACAGCTGGAAAATTTTGAGTAGGCTGCTGTGCCACTCTGCACCTAAGCCTCCTCTCTGGCAATCCAGAGTCACTCTGCTGTCTATATCCCTTTCAGAGATGTCATGTGTAAGGACAAGTGAGGCGATGTGTGTGAAAGGGCTTCAACTATCTCGTGCTGAGATGTGTGGGCCAGCGCAGCTCAGAGGTGCCAGCTATTCTGGGATTCCTCATCTCTCAAGGGCCAAACACTGGCCAGGATGGACAAACAAGGAGACCGGCAAAAGTGGGGCAGAGAAGTCTCAGAGACCAAGAGGCAATGAGAAGACAGCTCACCTACCCTTTTCTTCCCACCCCAGCTTCCCTCTTCCCCTTCCCTTCCCTTCCCTCACTTGACATGGCCTCTTCTCTAAGCTGAGGGATGGTGCTGAGGCTATTTGTTCAGTGGAGAATTAAGGAACACCTCTAAGTGTAGGATAAAGTCATGCACCAGATAAAGACCATGTCTTCCAAGACCAGTAAGAGAGAGACAAAGACATTCCAACAGGAGGCAGGTCATGCCATGTCCTGGGGAAGAAGACGAGCCTGGGGTCGGAAAATCTCAACCGCACTCCTAACCGATCACTAACTCACTAACCCTGGACAAGTTATTCAATCTCACTGTCTTCTGCAACCAGAGAATAAGACCCACCTCCAGCGTTTGCTCTGAGAATTCCACTGAACAAGCCCTGTATTCAGCATGGTGCCTGGCTCTGATTTTAGCACTCGATAAAGGGTCACCTCTATTTTTAGCATTCCAGGGAGCCAGAGGACCCTTTCTAACTGGATGACTCTGGAATGATTTCCCAAGGAGAGGGCACTGAACTAGGCTTGGAGGCTGAATTCTCGGTTTGGCAGGCACAGTTCGCTGAGGCACTGGCTGAACCTGGGGAGGTCAGTCTCGCAGCAGCACCAGGGCACAGAGTTGTGTGTCCGGCGCTGGGAGTACTGAAAGGGGGTGAGCCGGCGGCGGAACGCAGGCCTCCCGGCGGGCAGAGGGAGCCAGCACGAGCTCTGGAGTAGGAGAGGGCCGGGATCAAAGCGCTCTGAGGCAGGCCAGGGCGCACCAAAGGGAGGCTAGTGAATTGCATCAGCACAGATTCCGTGATGCTCTGCAGACGTCTCCAGGCTGCTGGGCTTTACGGGAACCCACAAGAAAGGAAAGGACCGGGGAGCTAGCAGGCGGGGGCGGGCGAGGGCGCGAGGGTGCGCTCGCCCGCGCGCTCCCGGCGGCGCCGGGCCGGGGCTGGGCGCGCCCGGGACTGCGGAGGCCGTGGAGGAAGCTCCTGCTCCCCTTCCCCCGCCTCTTTTCCCCCCGCATTACTGGAAGGACTGTGTGGGAGAGACCCAGAAGCACCCGGATTTTCGAGCGCCAGGTGGGGGAGGGCGGGGCAGCCTCTACTGCTCAAACGAAAACCAAAAGTGCGTCTGTTCGCGCCGCTCCGACACGCGGTTGCTACTGGGAGGGCTCAGGGCGCTTTCGCCGCGCCTCCCTTTGCAGCCCCCAAGACTTGGCTAGGGCGGCCTGAGGCCCGCGTGGCGCGGGGAGGGGCTGAGAAGAGAGTGGGAAAGTGTCACGATTTCTTCTGTGCCCCTCCCGTCCCTATCCCCACCCCCAGTTTTCTGGGTTTTGCTGCTGCCGCTGGGGAAGGACTGATTCGTTTTGCGTCAAAGGACTGCATTTACTCAGTCCTGCTGGGAGAGGCGCGTAAACACCCAGGCAGGCCAGGACGCAGGGATGGGGAGGAGGAAGAAAAAAGCAAAGCACCCACGGCTGGCGTGCGCGTCCGCCTGCCCCACACCCCTCTCCTGGGCCCGCGGAGTTGGGGACTCTGCCCAGCGGGCAGCAGCGGAGGTGCGAGGAGTCTGGCTGGCCTCGTCCCGTCGCGCACGCGCGCGCGTCCTTGGGGATAGCGTTCAGGACAGAATGTGTTTTATAGCTGTAAACAATGACCCCGAGTATTGTTTGGGATTACCGTATCTTGGGGCCCTTGGGGCGGCCAGATGCCGCCAGCCGTCCCGGAAATGCCAGCGCTTTATATAGAGCCCCAGGAAAGCTTCGCGTTCCCGGCTCTATTTTTCTTTCCTACCAACACCCCCACTTTACAGATAAGGAAACTGAGGACAGAAATTGTGTGACGGTGCACAGCGAGTTGCCCGCAATGGACTCTCAAGAACACCTCTTAACTTTGGGGCCTCATAAGGACCCTGTGGGGTACAGACGGCTGGTGCTACTTAAGAATTGGGTAAACTGAGGCTAACAGACCCTGGGCCAGAACCTAAGTTCCCTGAATTCCGCTACAGTACTTCTCCATTCACACACCATCATCTCAGCAGAAGGACTGGAGCTCCAGAGCAGAGAAGGGCCTAAGGTCATGGCTCCAAACTCCTTCCCTTTATAGGAGGAAACTGAGGCCCAGAGAGGTTAAGGAATTGGTCTAAGATCTCACAGCTCGTAAATAGCGTAGCCGGGCGTTCCTGCTCCAAGGTCTGTGCTCTGTACCCTGCGCCGCGCCCCTCCCAGCCCCGCCCAGTGAGGGAGGAGGACCCAAGTGTCCGGCTACCCGCGCCCTGAACTTCGCTCCAAAACAGCTGAAGACGACAACGTTGGGGCACACCCTCTCGCTGGCTACTTTTTTTTTTTTTTTTAATTCGTAACAGTCGGGAGTTTGCTTATGAACGCCCGATTACTCTTATTAGATGCGTCCTAATTGCTCGGCGTACAGGGCAGCCGGAATGTCTTGCCCGGTTAATTTCATCTTCAAGGCTACTCCTAACGAATTAACTGTAGGACCGAAAACATGAAAAACAAAAATCAAAAAGGGAAGCGGTAGGCAGCCCGCCACGGAGGGAAAAATAGGCAGGCCAGCCCCGCCCGGCGCCGCGCCCCGCCAAGACCCGGCCGCAGGGCGGCGCGGGCACCCTGCGCGCCCCGGGCGCCCGCTGCACTCGGCGGCGCCGCGAAGGGCGCCTACGACCGCGCGCGGCCGCGCCCTCCCTGCGAGCGGCTCTGCGCGCCCAGCTCCCGGCCTCCCGGTGGCGCCGCACCGAACCGCCCGTCTCGCCGTCAGGGCTGTGATTATTTTCTAAAATCCGGAGTCGAGACCGCGCGGCCGCTCTCGGGGCCCCGCCCCGCGCCCCTTCCCGGGGCGGGGGAGAGGCCACAGCGCACTCGGGAGCGGGCGAGGGAATCCCTCTCCCTCCACGTCACCCGAAAGCGAGGAAACCCGCACTCGCGTCCTCTAACGCAAATGACCATCTTTGGCAACGTGCGCCAATGGAACAGACCAAGGGCGCTGGGCCCGGGGGGTGAGCGGGGGGCGGGGGAGGGCCGGGGCTGCCTCGGCGCCCCCCAACCGTGCGGGCCGCCCGCTCCCGCCCGGGCCACCGCCTGGCTTCCTCGCGCGGGGTGCGCGGCTGGCGTCAGCGCGGCCGGGAGCCGGGGCTGGGAGGGAAGAGCTGCGCCCGCCTCCTCCCCTCCTGCGCCTCTTCCTCCTCCGCGGCCTCCTCCCCCCGCCTCCTCGTGCGCTCCTCCCTGCAAGGTGGAGTCTGGGGTTGACGTGAGTGAATCCACATGGTACAGGGCTGGAGAATAAAGAGTGTGAGTTGAACTCGTGCCATTGTAGTGACTCATCTCGGGCAGAGCGCTAGGGCTTCGAGCGAACCAGCGAGCGAGCGAACGAGCGGCGCTCGGCGGGGACAGAAAGAGGGAGAGGGAGAGGCGCGGTCGGGCGAGGCGGGCCCGTCCGGGAGCGGGCGCCGGGGAAGGGGTGCAGGTCCGGGCGCCGGAGCGGGGAGCAGGGCCGCGTCCCTCTCAGCGCCAGCTCAGCTTGAGCCCCACGAGCCGCTGTCCCCCTGGCGCGCTCGGGGCCGCGGGACGGGCGCACGCCGCCTTCTCCCAGTCAAGTATCCGAGCCGCCCCGAAACTCCGGCGGCGAGTCGGCCACGGGAAGTTTATTCTCCGGCTCCTTTTCTGAAAGGAAGAAACAGAAGTTTCTCCCAGCGGACAGCTTTTCTTTCCGCCTTTTTGGCCCTGTCTGAAATCGGAGGGTCCCGGGGGCTGGCAGGCCAGGCTCTCTGGGCTCCTAGTCTTTTTAATTTCCAGTTTTTGATTGGGCCGTGGGTCCCGGCTGAGCTCCGGCTGCGCGCGGGGGCGGGAGGGCGCGCGCAGGGGAGGGACCGAGAGACGCGCCGACTTTTTAGAGGGAGGGACCGGGTGGACAACTGGTCCCGCGGCGTTCTCAGAGCCGGAAAGAAGTGCCGTAAGAGGCGCTCGGGGGACGCTGTTCCCGAGGTGTCGCCGCCTCCTTGTCCTCGCCCGCCGCGGTTGGGGAGAAACCCAGGAGCGAAACCCAGAGCCCGCGGCGCGGCCGGCGGACGAACGAGCGCGCAGCAGCCGGTGCGCGGCCGCGGCGAGGGCGGGGGAAGAAAAACACCCTGTTTCCCCTCCGGCCCCTACCGCGGATCATGTACCAGGATTATCCCGGGAACTTTGACACCTCGTCCCGGGGCAGCAGCGGCTCTCCTGCGCACGCCGAGTCGTACTCCAGCGGCGGCGGCGGCCAGCAGGTAGGTGCGGGCCCCGGTGCACCTGGCGGCGCGGGCGGACCCCTGCCCTCCTCTCGCCGCCACTGCCTCTTTTGCTTTCTTTTCCTTTTCTTAGCGAAAAAATACCTACGGGCCACCGTTGTTAAGTTCTGGATTTTCGTCCTCTCCTCCCCCACCACCCCCTTTTACATCAGGGGATTGGGGAGTGGGCTTGAAAAGACAACATGCCCTTTTCCTCCCACATTATATTTTACCCAGATAAACTCCTGGAATTGTAGGCCCCCTACCAGGAAGAGCCTGTTACCTCCTCCCATGAACTACTCCCCCTCCCCAGTGCCCGCCCCTCCTCGCCCCCCGCCCCGAGTCTTCTTTCTGAATGGTGGACAGACAAGAAAATCTTTGCACCCACTGGCACCTTTCGACATCCTGGGACCCTATTCTTTCAGGAAAGCCCTCTCTCTCTCCCCTCCTCGTTCTCCATCAGTCTTAGCTCCTTTCTGAAAGGGGTTGGGGATCCAGAAACATGGTTGGACTCCTTCAAGTAATCTGGAGCGAGGGCGAGGGCTGCCGCTCTGGGAATCAGGTGCGAAGGTCAGGAAGGAAGAAGCCAGCCTTGATTGGCTCATGCCGCCTGTGTGCCCAGTGCCTGCCCGCCTGCCCGCCCGTCTTCTGTAAGGGTCGAGGACAGGAGGCTGCACTGCCCCGCAGGAACGAAGGAGCACCGTGAGGGTCTGGGGGTACCTGGAGCAAGGAGGCCGGCAGAGAGAAGAGGGGGTCGGGTGGGGGAAGAGACATCACACAGGCTCCTGGGTGGTTCTGGAAGCAGAAAACAACTTGTTTCTAAAGCAGCCGGACTGGTTTGCGGTGGAGGGATTGTGCGTGTGATCTCTGTGTTTATAAATACCAGGAAGGTACTGTTGTTGCGGGGCGGGGGGGGGGGGGGGTGCTGATGGCGTGCCTGCCCTCTGCTGCGGCTCCCCACCCGCTCTGTCTCAAGAGAGAGCTGGGTTAACGCAGGCCCAATACAACATGAAGCCCACGGTGGTCAGCATCTGTGGAGTCTAGCACAGTTGGCTGCAGCAAGGGATGCTCCATAAGGCGGTGGCCTTGGCCTCTAGAAGGGGCTGGGGTGGGCTTCCAGGGAGGGGTAGATTCAGCTGGAAAGTCTTATGGAACATGGCTCTCTTTTGGATCTGATGAGGGATCCCTTGTTCCAAAGTGATTCCCTATACCTGATGAGTCCCCAAAATGGCTTTTCTGCCTTCCCTCTGCCTCCCATGGTGCTCCTATAAGCACCCGCAGTAGAGACAGCCTGGTCTGTTCATTGAGGGTGCAGTCAATGCACCGTTCGTATTGAGCACCAAGGTGATGAGTTTTAAATCCGAAAAGTTACTGGTTATGTTTGCTTCCCAGCCCCGTTGGTGGTTTGTATTGAATGTAAACATCCTGAGGGAATAGGCTGAAGTCTGTACCCTCCGTCTCCCGTTCAACAAACCCCAAACGCCTGTCCTCCTCCCTGGAATCAGGAAGGGATCTTTTGATTTCTTCCCTGTTCTTTTCCCTAATGTGTCTTTGGCAGTTATCGTTGGAGTATTACAATCTCACTGCCTGGCTTAGCATAGACCCTGGGGCCTGCCGGGATGTCAGACCGGACATCATTGCCCCAACTGAATAATCTGTGTCACTAGGGCTTTGAGCCCAGGATGTGAGCGGAGGCAATTCCCGGTTTTGGAAGAAAATCAGACAGGAAACCAGTGCTAGGAAGAAGGAAGAGAACTCAGTCCAGCAGAGTGTAATAGGGCCTCATTACCGAAGCAAAAAGCAGCTGTTGGCTAATTCCTAGCATGCTGTAACACATGAGGATTTTGCAATTAGTAATAACCAGTGCACGGGGTTCTCACATAGACGCCTGCCCATTCGACCTGGCAGTGTGTGAGACGCCTTTCAAACCAGAGGGACTGGCAAGGTAATGCCACTTGAGACGAGGTTCTTGGCCTGTCCGCTCCTTGGTGTGGTCGTGGTTGGGTGGGGGACGAGGAGGAACGGGGTGGATTTTTCCGTCGTTGCTCCAACTGTGAACAAAATCGTTCTGTGGTCCTGAGGACTGACCTCAGAGGCTTTTGTTCCTTCACAAGTCTGTGCTATGACCTTGCCTGATCTTGGGCTCGAGGTAACTTTACTACATACTAGATAAAACCTGTAATCACTTTATTTCTCTCAGCTTCCTTTACTGGGAGACTTCCCTGGCAGTTAGTGGATGGGCCTTTCTCTTTTATGGCATATCTCAGTGGACTGATCCATATGAGACAGTTCTCTGGTTTTTCTTTGGGGAAGTGAATTTTATTTTTTTCAGGTCTCTCTTTTGGGAGTCCAATATTCCTGATCAGTTTGTTGCCAGTTCTTCAACCCAGAGCTTTCCCATCCCCTCTAGCTTCATGAAGCTGGATCTTAACACATGGCCATGAGCTCCAGTGACTTTGGGGGTGGGGGGAGCAGACTAGTCTTTGTTCCAGCCTCTGTTCTTATATATGGCAGGAACTTGAGGCATGAAAAATATTTCCTGTTCCAGTTATAGTTTTAATCTCAAAAGTTGGTCATTGGTGATTTTGTTTTGTCAGTAGTTGTTGCACACACCTCCCCTTCTTGGATTTTTCTTTTTGCTGTTGTTTTTTCTCTCCTAACTTTCCTAGGAAAACATCTCCCAGATATATGCCCTGCCTGGCTGCTTGACTATTACGGTTTCAGGGCCTGAGCATTACGCAATCCAGCCAGTTACACAAACACAGGTCATTTCATAACTTGTTTTCATCAGCTGGCCCCCTTTTAATGAAAAAAACAAAACAAAAACAAGACCTAGAACTTTTCCAAGGCTGCTATTTGTTTCTCAGATGACTTGTGAAAATAAATCAAGGGCAGTATTTCCTTTTTGGAGTTAAGGAATACCAGACTAACACTCTTCTTCCTCAACTACTCCTTCCCAAGACACACAAACACACACTTACACACACACACACACACACACACACACACACACACACACACACAATTCCCCAGAGTGAACTTTTGCCAACTGTACCAGACTGGGACATTCCTCACATCAAAGAACTTTTACCAGAAATGACTGTGATTCCCAAGCCAGCCTCAATCATACCTCTCTAGTGCCCTCTACGGGAAATATTTAGGACAACTATCTTGGGAATGTATTTTTCTAGTCCCAGAGTGTTAAATTGGTGAGTTCGGAATTCTTAGGATGCTTTTTCTTTTTAATGAGGGACAAATAAATGCCACATATTTAACCTTGGTTAACTAGGAACTGCTTGACTTTGAGTTTCTTTTTTGTTCTGTTCTAAATAAAACCTGGTTATAAAAGGAGTGCTTTTTTCTTTTTCTATTTTGATGTCTGTCTGTTCATTAGGGTGCCTTCACAATTTGTTCAAATTCCCAAGGCATGTTTTCTTATGTGCTTATGTTAGGAGGGGGCTTGTTCAGTTGGTGGGAATGTGGGAGGCATAGATTAAGGGTCTGGTGCTTTTTTTTCCCCCTTGATCTTACAGATGTTGCAGATTAGGATCAAACAAAATGTTATCCCAAGAATTTGTCTGTTCCGCTGATTCTTGATGGTGGAAGTCAGCTTCACTTTTTCATCAAAGGGACTGGGGTGAAATAGCAGTCATGTATTGTCTGACTGGCAGTTGAATTTTCCTATCCAAAACCCTGAGTGCATTTCCACTACCTATTTCTGCTTCTGCCTGTCTTATTATTCAAGGTGAGGGTAAAATTGGGAGACTTGTTTTTTTCTTTTCTATCTTAATACAAATACAGCAGAACTTATTCATCCAAATCACTATTGTCCCCTTCCTTGTTTTTTCCTTGAGGAGACTAAATGCTTATCCGAATGCTGTGGCTATTCTCAGACTGAGAAAGGTTTTGCAGTACCCCCTCTTTTGCAATTGCTTTCAGCGTATTCTTTTGAAAATCCTCCCTGCTAACAAATCTTTGTCCTCTGAAGGGTGAATTTGATATTTGGAAATTACCAAAAGCCTCTTTGGAGCCAAGTCTGACATACAAGTCTAGATGATCCCGCTGAGTCCAAAGTAGGGTGGGACCCCGTGTCCTTCAGGCCTCTGGAGTCTACCTGGGAGAGCATGCCCACGACAAAAGACACCAAAGCAGGCACCTTTGCCATCAATAACTTGGATTTTTTTTTCTCATTTGTTAGATAGGAATAAAGATACTGGTTGTGAGAATTAAGGAGATGAACATTCTGGTCTATTTGTTGAAACAAAGAAAAAAATAGCATCATTACTTTGTGGGTATGTCTCATCTGTGTTGTATGTGTTGTCTTTTGGTGGCCACAGTATTTCAAAATGACAGCAACTGCCCTGACTGAGGGAAATAGATCTGTTCCAAAGCCCATCTGGTAATTCTATCCCTTCTCAGCTCCCTGGGCTGGAGAGGGAAGGTGTAAGGTTTCTCCTGACACACCTGGTCTCTCAGCCCTGTCCCGTGGCAGTGACACTTTCCTAGGCTCACCTTCCTGTGGCTCTAAGGGAGGATGAGAGGACATGTCATTCCCATGGAGTGTAGCGCCTCTGGGGCGCTGTGGGGGCTCCAAAGGGGCCCACAGAATAGCGGGGTGAATTCCCCAGTGCTTTGGTGTGGCGCTTCTGGCCAAAAGGGCCCTGGCAGGGAAGCAGCTGGGGAACCTGGGCAAGGGCTGCCTTCTCTTTCTGTTTCTTTCCTTCCCTGGTTATCTTCCTCCTGGCAGGAAGCCAGGTGGAGGAGGATAGAGTAACTCTTTCAAGGGAACCCAGGAAAGCATGGAGGCTGAAGGGAGGTGGGTCGCCTAAGAGAGCGTTTATAAACTGTAAAGCTTTGGGAAATTACAACTTATTAGCAACAGTTTCCATTGTGACATAGTGGTATTTCTTCAGAGAGGAATGAAAGGTCAGAGGTCAAAGTGATGTTCAACGCAGAACCTATGAAGACTGGTTAAATTCCTTATGGAAGGCTTTGGGGAA